CGTTTGGCCTCTACCCGTTGACCTTTCATGCATGATTGGATCTACGGCTGTGAGAAGCTATCCTGTGTAGTTTGTTTAGCATTACCTAGTATACGGCTCTAATTGAAACTGAAGCAATGGTTTCATGTAAAACACTTATGGGTTCGTATATGCATTATATGCATTTATACTATATTAAATGTTTTTTCAAAATACTAATAAACAAACCTTGGTGAGTCTTTACAGCATCGATTTTCCGGATTCCTTTATACTTGATAAACATTGCGATTTTCATGTTGAGATTATGTAATCTTGGCAACCAAGGTCAGGTACGTTTAATTGACGTTCTCACAGAATAGGAACTACGTAAATCGAAGAAGACAAGGTATAAATTAATGTAAAAGTCTAAAGTAATAATGTAGCTAATAAACAATGAAACTCAATTTGATCACAATCAGCCAGTACTGTATGCCTAGGAATTATCGCTTTGACTTCGCTGACACTCAATCAAATATCGTCATTATCATTATTGTCAACATCAAATTACATGTTTTCTTCTCTCTTTGTTTGCACCTTTCTTTTTCAGTTCCTATTATCAGACAACCTTTGTCGCCCATAGTGTCACCATACGAAAACGCCCCAAAGGGTCGGCAACAATGTTCAAAATGTCAGGTGGCTGGAGGTCAGTGTTACGACCAGGACTTGGATGATGTGGCGGATGGTTGCCACTGTTCGACCGACCGATCCAAGCCAAATCACGGAGTCTTGACTATTTGCCAAAAACAGCCAGGTCAATATCTGTTGCGCCTTAGTTTCGGATATGCGAAAGGTGGCAAAATACTATTTTGCATGACTGGATAGCATGATAATATCATCACCAATTCTTATTGACATCATTTTGAAAGGTTCTGATGATTGTCTGTGTGGGACGTTTGAAAATTGTTGTTGTGTGATTCGTTCAAACGTTTCCGTTTTTACCCACTGCAAAATGAACTGTAGCCCCCTCTCCCCTAGGAAAAAACACTTTGCTACGGACCCGACTGATTGTACCACACGCCCTTCCCAACACAGTCATCGGATTAGATATTAGCATATTGAGGAAAAATCTGCATAGTTCATTGCCTCTAAGGCATTCTCTAGGCCATCCTTTCATCACAGCTATCAAAAATCGTTCTTGAGGTGTACTGAGTGAACACTGAAGGTGGACTTCTTGAGTAGAAGATCAAAAAGGTCAAGACGAATCTAACCCACGCACGGGAACTTCACTATGCTAAATTGACAATTTTCAGTTTAATCGCGCCAATTTAATTGACGTACATCGTTAATACGAAATGCATGTATCCCTGGTCAGTGAGGTATTTCTTAAATCTTTTAACAGCGGCTCCAACCATGAACCGTCTTGAATACGATATATTAGGTTCTCCTTCGTAATCGAGCACACTAAATGTCATAGCGGAAGTAACGAACTTATTTACTTGCAGTGTTTCTGCCTCAGATCTAATCATGAAAGAAATCAGTGAATATCCGTTGACAGGGATGAACTCACTGCAGTCCCGCCTTTTTTGTCCACATTGTGTGTAGTTCTTCAGCTCCTTGAGAATCACCATCCCCTTTCCCGTCTTTCCCATCACGACGAGACTGCACCTTGACGCGGTGTGATGGCCTGCGTGCCTTCATGACCCTGTGAGCCACACAGGATGGCTTTTCACAGCCGTAGATCCAATCATGCATGAAAGGTCAACGGGTAGAGGCCAAACGAAGACCA